CTCTCTCTCTCTCTCTCTCTCTCTCTCTCTCTCTCTCTCTCTCTCTCTCTCTCTCTCTCCTGAGTAGATTGGAAAAGTTACGACATCAGCTCATGCCCATGTACAATTTTGATCCTGCAGAAGAACAAGATGAGCTGGAGCAAGAACTGCTAGAGCATGGCAGAGATGCTGCTTCTGTTCAGGCTGCCCAAATCAAGGTAATACTTTTTCTCCCTATCAATGAAACCTCTGAGGCAATTTCTCCTACTCTCAAATCCTGAGATTTGTGCATGGCCCCAAATCGATCAGAAGAGAGCTGAAAGTGACCTTGGAGATCTTCTCGTCCAACCCCTTGTTCAAGCAGGAGACTCTATACAATTTGAGACAAGTGGCTATCCAGTCTCTTCTTAAAAACCTCCAGTGATGACACAATTGCTGAAGGCAAGCTGGTCCACTGATTAATTGCTCTCACTGTTAGGAAGTTTCTCCTTAATTCCAGGTTGCTTCTCTCCTTGATTAGTTTCATTCCATTGTTTCTTGTCTTGCCTTCTGGTGCTTTGAAAAGTAAGGTGACCCCCTCTTCTTTGTGGCAGCCCCTCAAAACACTGGAATACTGCTATCATGTCACCCCTTGGCCTTCTTTTCTCTAGACTAGCCATACGCAGTTCCTGCAACTGTTCTTCATATGTTTTAGACTCCAGGCCTTTAATCATCCTAGTTGCTCTTTTTTGTACTTTTCCCAAAGTCTCAACATCTTTTTATAATGTGATCAAAACTGGATGCTGTATTCCAGGTGTGGTCTTTCTAAGATTTTATTTATGAACAAATTGTAATTTGGAATATGCTAGAAAGAGACAATTAGTAAACATATGACTGGAGAGTAGCCATATATTTGATTGTAATTGTTCAAACATAAATCAAATTAGATTCTAATGTTTTTTTTTCTGAACCTTCCTTCCATTCACTTTTCAAATTCAGCTCCTGACAAATTATTCAAAGAACAAGCATGGCCCTCAGCCTGGAAAAAATTGTGTAATATTGTGTTATCAGTTATATTGAATTTCAGCTTTCATAAATCCCTGCTGGGATGAGCACTGAACCATTCCCACCAGGCTGAAATTATGAGAGTTGGAAACCTATACACCTGGAAGACTAGTTTGAGAGGATACTGTAGGCTAGATGATGGTGAGATTTTGTCTCCTGGACTTGAAGCTATAGCTGTTCTCATATTGCCAGTTTTAGAATTAGAGTTTTTTCTGAACTAAAATATGAAATACAGTAAGAGAATCTGGAGGAGAATTGATCTCACACTAACTTAATCAATAAACTGGCTCCACATAATACCTCTAAAATTAACCAAGATGAGCATGTTGTACCAATACAGCATAACTAAGTCTCCAATTGACTTCGATAAGCATTGTGGGCAACCTAACTTCTTGACAGCTGTTAGAATGATTCCTTCTTGCTAAGGGAGTGAAAGATGAATTTCAAGTTGTTTTTTTATTACTACAGGTGGTCCTTGGATTACAATGGCAATTGGGACTGGAATTTCTATCTAAATGATGTGGTCGTTAAGTATGACATCACATGACCACATTGTTTAGCTATCACAATCCTGGCAATCCGAGTTGCCATCATAATCCTAGGACTATGAGGATCATTAAGCAAGGACCTCACATGACCACAATGTGGGAAGGAGCAGCAATCCCAGACAAGCTGGCCGGCAGGTAGGAGTTAACAAGTAGGTGGGTGGATAGGACAGGTGGATGCTGCGGAGATGAGTTAGTGTGTGGGTGCCTGGGTGGGTGCCATGGGAAGGTGCTACGGAATGCAGGTGGGTGGGTGGGTGAGTGCTGTGGGCAGGTGCTACAGAGCAGACCTGTGCAAGTCCTTCTCATTTAGCATTGCTATAACTGAACAGTTGCTGAACAAGTGGTCATAACTTGAGAAATATCTGTATTTACATCATGCTAAAAATGCATCTTTAAAAATATATACTTCTGTCAATAGGATTTTTATTTCTGTTAATCCAGTAGTGGCATGTTTATTGTGCAATACTTTGCAATCTTGGGAGAATCGTATGAAGATAAAATATTCATGCATTTCTCTTCCCCTCTCCATTTTGTTGTTTTGTTTTTGTTGTAGGCAAATCAAGGTGTTCTCCAGAGACCCAGTCGTCTTGTGTTCACAGATGTTGCAAATGCCATCAGTGCATGAAGAACGCTTCCCCTACACGAGATACAGGAAGAGGACACCAGCCAGTTAGCAAGCTACTGTGGATAGTGACTATCAATTCTCGCTGGGGAAAAAAGGCCAAGAACCAAGACTGGCAGCGCTCCTGTTGCCCCATGCTGCAGAGTTTGATTGGCAATGTTGAGGGACCAAGTAATGTATGATAGAAGATGAGAGGTTATTTATAGATACATTGATTGGAATGAATATAGTAACAGGCTTTGGAAATATAGCATCAATTCCTAAGGCCTTCCTTCCTTGAGATATTGATAAAAGTATCTAGAGTTTGAGACTGCAGATTCATCTAGTACATACTATGCAGTAGACCCAAAATATGATCCTGTTGGTTTAACTCCTAGGAACCTGGAACGTATGAAGTTGTCAACATAAATCGGTGTCATCCCATCTCATGTTCTGGTGCAGTAAAAGCTGCTCTTCAGTATAATCATAACAGTTAGCCGTTGTCTTTCCATTAGATTTCTACAATGTAAAGTGTTCTACTAGCTGGTTCTTTGAGGAGGGATAGCCTGCAATGAAGGCACTGCTAATAGTAATCTCTGTGTCTTATGGAGGCAGGTAAACTTCCCAGGGCATAAGGATCACCTCTTCTAACACTAATTCTTACTACAGGGGAAGAATCTTAGAAATAAGAACAATGAAGCTAACTTGTAAATCCTGAGATGATTTACTTCAGTCAGCTTTGGCTGAAATGAAATGAAAAAAAAATGAAATGAAATCATATTTGGAAAAATAGTGTTATATGCATGTTCTTGCATATATTAAATAATCAGAGATCCCCACATCTCCATATTGAATGGGCTAATAATTCAATTGAAATCCATGGGAAAGTCTCAACACTTTTTAACCTTGGCAAGAAGAGCAGTTCTAAATGGAGGAAATAACACACTTATTTTACAATTTAAGGGGGAAATGCATCTGCTTACTTAGCTTATTTGTTTATTAGATAAACTGGGATACCACCCCTACAGTGAAGATTAGTTATTTTGCTTATACCATTCGCAACTGGGTGAAGTGCTTAGTTACTTATTTTTTAAGCTAATTTATTTTCTTCTCGTCATTTAAAAATGAATATTTATTTATTTAATTTATTTATTTGAGTTCAGTAGCTGCCCAGCTCAACAGATGACTCTGGGCAGCGTACAATTTACAAGAGATTTGGGCACAGAATTTGGATTTTTGTTTTCTTCCAGTTTGGAAATGGGAGGCAGAGGGAGTTGGGAATTGGGTGCAAGGAAGAAAGGCTTGAAAGCGATAATTGAGCAGATGCCAAGAATCCTGTGCTAAGCAAAGGCCCATGTTAAAGAAAGCTTTGCATTTTTTTAACGGATTAGCAAAAACAGTTTGAAAATAGTTTTATTTACATTTATCTCACACAGGGATGGCATAGATCCTCAGTAATCTGCAAGAGCAGCCAGCCTCTGTGCTATATTTTGCTTGGTGGCATGACCGGGACTCTGCTTGTTTCTGAACCCACCTCTTATATTTATGTTTACATGTCTTGTCTTTCTATTGCTTTGTCCAGGAAGGCAAACAAAAGAGCCACTACAATAAAGGGAAAGAGGAAAAAAAAATAAAGAAAGCTAGGGCACACAAGAAATCACTGTACAAACGATAGTTCCTGATGAAAAATTGGAAGGCTGGGTTAACAGTTACAGCCTAATTAGGTATTCAAGAAAAATACAAAGAAAATACAAAATTTCAGATCTAGCAAGTCAACTTCTCCGCCTTGTTAACCGTTACTGCTGTGAAAACTAATGTTAAATATCTATGCATGTTTATTGTAGCTTCAGTGAAAAGGAGAGGGGGAGCTCATTCCCCTCTCCTCCTTGCAAAGAATCAGACCATGGATGCTTTGGAGCGTCCCATCCTTCAGAGCCTGGGCAGGGGTGCATGCGTGATATAAAGCCATTTGCTTTGGCAGTTGCTAAAAGAAACCACCTGGTGAAGAATCAGTAAGGATAACAGGCCACAATAATGGGTTCCAGCTGCAAGAGGCAAATGAAAAAACGGGACCAAGAGTGTTTGTGGGCACTCACACCCTTTCCAGCAGATTTTGGAACTCAACCATAACACACTGGCAGAATGCTTACGTTTGTCTGCTGTTAATCAAGGCAGAAGAATGTGCAGATAAGTACTAATGGGCGTTCATGCAGTGATATGTCTGTATGTTTTGCTGGCTGTTCCTTTTGGTGTTTCCAAGATAGTATACTATCTGCCATCTCTTTTCAAAAGAAACATTTTTTAAAATGCTTCTCAATCCAATTCTTCCCTGAATTGTGTGGGAAACTGTAAATCACATACAGACCAGATCTGTATGATGTATGCATAACTTTTGGCTGTCATACCAATGAGTTAATGGCATAATATATGTGGTACGGGTATCTATATATATCAATGCTATCGCTGTCGTGTCACCTAATTTTTTTTCCTATGCATGTATTCTGACAAGTGATTTTCTCTGCAAACACAGAGCAATTCCATAGAAGTTTATTATACCGTACATATGGATGGCTGTGTTAATACAGTGATTAACTCCACAAAATATGCCTCTTAACCAAGTTAGCTCCTCCCCCTTCCCCATGCCGCATCCTCTTGAAAGACAGTGATCACACATAAGAAGGAGATTGTGATAAAACCTTAGCCAAAAGGAGTTCTTTAAGAGCAATCACACAAATATGAGTAACAATTCCTTCCGTCCCACTTCTGCTCATTCTTTAAAAAAAAAATAAAAATCAAATGACTCCAAAGGACCCAAATGAATCTATAATCATCAATTGACAGCAATTCAGTTTCCACAACTCAAATCAATAAGCCAGAGCCCAGTCTTTGGGCAATTCGTCAGAAAATGCCTGGGGAAATTGTGGGCTTCTAGGCATTAGTAGATTCTATTTCCCTTTGTCCCTGGCCATTGGCTTGGGCTGTTGAGCATTTGAGTAAATGTCTGGGGAGATTGTGGTTCCTCAACCCTGTTAGAGAACTGCTGGTAAAAAAAAAAAAAGTATGGTGTATCAAAGTCCTTACTTTGGGCAGCGATAAAGTAATTTTGTTCCAATGACCACCATGCAGTTGCTGGTCCTCCATGCCTACCTGCACTAGATCCTGCTGTTTGAGACCTTTTAGTTTGCATTCCAATTAGTTGGCTGCTGATATCGCACACGAACCTTTTGGCCAGTTTCTTTATAGGCAGTAGCTATGCCAGTCATCTCTAAACTTACAGCTGTCAGATATGGTGGAAATGCAACTCCCTGGAAATTGTGGGAGTTTCTGCCCCAAAATAATGGATGTGCTCCAGGTTGCCAGAGGCTGCACTGTGCTTTGCAATGCTGCCACTGCTAAATAATATCAGGTTTATTTTCTTCTGATTTCTGTTTCTCAGTGGCAGCATTGCCTCTCTTTCAATCGCTATCATTAGCAATGCAAAAGATGCAAAAAACGAAGCAAAACTGGAAAAATACATTTTGTAAATGCAATGAGATGTTCAATGAAAGTGCCATTAATGGAAATCCTTCAGTTCTTGGACACTTTAAATCATAGAGACTGAATGATTAATTTACTGAGTATTTGGTACAAACCTGCACTTTGGTCCACAGATTATTTCTGTATGATTCAGTAAGTCTGTATGAATGAATATGAGTAGAGAAAGGGCTCTTCCCTTCTGTGTTGCAGCCTCTCTGATTGTGTTGTATCACTAATGACTAAGAGAGGAACGCAGAGATTTGTAAGAGTTCTACCACAGTATTCTAATGCAATAGCTCTTTCTAACATGTACTTGGATAAGTGTTACAATATGTTCTTGTATTTGAAATGTTATTAAAATATTTATGTGAAATCAAGAATTTTATTGGACCCCCTTCACTTTGGTTGATCCTACAAACTTTCACTCAGGAAGAGGGCACAGTTGTTTTGTCTGGGGCATAATTGTCTTTTCATAACATTGAAAACTGTAACATGCAGCAGAATGTCATAAGCTAGCAGAAAGGCACATCCTTCCTTCCCCCCCCCCCCATGCCTTTGTGGTACTACCAGAGGGGCAACTAGAAGTTCTAATCCAGAGTTCCACAACCTTTTGGGCACCAGTGACTGGTTCCGTGGAGAAAGGTTTTTCCATGGACCAGAGAGTGTGTGGTTTTGTGTGCTGCCTGCATCCAACAGATGGGGCTTTGCTTGTTTGTGCAGACCGGTTGCTGGCATGCTACGGCCCAGTACTGGTCCACAGACCGGGGGTTGGGGACCCCTGTTCTAATCCCATCAGTTCTAACCAGCATGGTCAATAAGGATTGCTGTGCAATAGCATCTGGAAGTCCATACACGACTTTATTTTCACCCTAAAAGTGAGAAAGATTCTGATCCCTGTAGGCAACAACAAGCAATAATTTGTTGGGATCTTTTCCTGGGAGAGAAAAACTAGAGCAATTTGATGAGCCCACTTTGGTATAAAAATATTAGTCATACCAGATGGAGTAACAAAACGAAATTCAATGGTGAAAAAAGTAAGGTTCTACATTTTAGGAAAGAAAAACCAAATGTACAGGTATAGTATAGGGGGTACCTTGCTCAATAGTAGTAACTGTGAGAGGGATCTCGGAGTCCTAGTAGTCAATCACTTAAATATGAGCCAGCAGTGTGCTGCAGCTGCCAAAAAAAGGCAACACAGTGCTAGGCTGCATTAACAGGGATAGAATCAAGATCACGTGAAGTGTTAATACCACTTTACAATGCCTTGGTAAGGCCACACTTGGAATACTGCATCCAGTTTTGGTCATTACGATGTAAAAAAGATGTTGAGACTCTAGAAACTAGAGTACAGAGAAGAGCAACAAAGATTATTAGGGGATTGGAGACTAAAACATAAGGCACGGTTGCTGGAATTGGGTATGTCTAGTTTAATGAAGAGAAGGCCGAGGGGGGACATGATAGCAGTGTTCCAATATCTCAGGGGCTGCCACAAAGAAGAGGGAGTCAAGCTATTCTCCAAAGTGCCTGAAGGCAGGACAAGAAGTAACGGATGGAAACTAACCAAAGAGAGAAGCAAACTAGAACTAAGGAGAAAT